TCCAGCCGCATGCGACAGTTCCCGGCCGATGCACCATGTTGCGAGTCGGTGGGTCCAGGACAGGGCTAGAGTGCCACTTATGAGGAAAACCCGGATGAATTACGAGGGACAATAGTGCAAACAGTCAACTCCTAGTGACCGCGCGCTGACCACTAAGTAAGGAATGAACTAACTACCCTAAAGGCCAGCTAACTGACCTTGGCAACCACAGAACCGACTTTAATACACCTAACTATTAAGTAGGTAGTGTGTAGGGTTTAACCCTTATTGCTACTTAACACTAGCACAAGGACTTATAAGTTTTTATGATGTTGAACTACTCTTATATTTTCCCATGAATCAAGTATTAATACAAATGATGTTAGTAACGCATGAGACTAACTCACGGTCGCTTCCCTCGACCCGCCGATCGACCACGAATAGTTGAACTAGGAATAGCATCCAGAATAGAGTTCTAAGGGCTAACGCCCTGCGAGCCTGCAGAACCGACGACGATGGGGCAGAACCTGACGACAGACGGGAACACCGGGACAGGCCGTGATGGTGCCGTTGCGAACAGGCCCGTGCGTTTCCGCACGATCACGGATAGATCGTAGTGGGTCATGTCTGCAGTACTTCGCAGGCGCCGGCGCGCCCAGGGTTCTGTTGGAGCGATCTTCGTGATACGCGACACGAAGGGTAACAGGTCGGCGAGGTGCACGTGAATCGCACGTGGCCGCCAAGGGCTGGAAAGACGATCGCCAATGGGGAGAAAAAGGTGAAAAAACAAAGTTTCGTGTGCAACCTGTGTTGTACACCATTCGATAGTATTTTTCATGGGAAATCGAATGGTGCACATTTCAGGTTCCAAGTCCTTCTGGACAAGCAAAAAAAACTGATCATATCACAAGGACATGACGAGCAGTGATGTTTGGGGTCACACCACGAAAGGAACACACCTGCGACCAAATATTTTACCTAATTCTTACAGAGAAGTAACCGTTGTTCACGCCGGTAGAGAGATTTCCCACAAAACATCTTTAATAGTGGGGAATGTCACATAATGGGCCTACCACTACTGCAATCCTAGATGAAGCTCTTTCGAAAATTGAAATATAGCATCTTGTAAATCTCGAGCAGAGCTATCAGCTGGTATACTTTTCAAATCGCGTGAACCATTTCTTCAAGAGTTATGGCGAGGCGACGGTTTGCGACGGTTTTTACCCGTCGCAAACCGTCGATTGAACAAAAATTAGTATCAGTATTGTAGGCATAAGAACACTGTAATCGCTTGCTGTACACAATTGCATGGGCGCAAGGTGGGAAATATACGTACATAACATCTGGGGCCGTAAGGTATTTCCCCGAACAGGAGAGGAACCCCTCCCTGGTAATGTATGCTCTCCCCGAAAAATCAAAGAAAATAGCATCGGTTCTCGGGTATGTCTCCCAGACTGCATGTCAATTGCAAGGATATTTCGCCGATTGCATGTCAATCGGGGAGAATCCCCCGAGAACTGGAGGCGTGGCCCTTTCCCCGAGAGTTTTCGGGGAGAGCATACCTTACCAGGGAGGGGTCCCTCTTCTGTTCGGGGAGGCATACCTCAAGGGCCCTGGTGGGTTCAAAATGGGGCCGAGGAAGTGGAGAAGAGCTCGAAGGAAGGCTTTGTGAAATCATGAAGGCGGTAGCTAACGATAAGAGCCAGACTGGGAATGAGGAGAGGCGAGACAGTCAGACGAGGGATTGGCAATAGTTTTCATGGAATAACTTATTGTCATTCAAGCATATTAGTAGGTATACACATGGTTAGACTCGCCACAGAGAGGCGAGTCTATTGCTGTAAAGATCTTTCCATTTTACCCGCTTTCAAGGAAGTTATAATGGTGCGACGGTTTGCGACGCTTTAGAACCGTCGCAACGCGCAGATGTTACAAAGGTTAGGGGCAGTATTGTACTTGTGGCAGTTCCCCAAAGGTAGTTCAAGCCACGGCACATTTGCATATCGGACGATAACTGTGCTTTTGTGTAGTGTACGTGCACACCTGAACAAAATTGTTTTAGGATAACAACGCACATTCATATGCGACACATTTTACACGACTCTAACAATGAATTACTGCCGTCATTGATTTGCACTTTGCATTACTTGCACTCCCTTCATGGTTTGCATAGCCATTGGCTTCCATCAAAAACCAATCTAGTGAATATAGAGGGTTTAAGGAAAAAGGAAACTCTCAACAGATGTAGCAGCAGATTTGTGTGAGCATCCGTTCGATAGTCAATCTAAGCTACGGATTGGACACATTTTCTGACAAGATTAACATTTGAAGCGAGGGATTATGATGAGATGGGGTTAGGTTTCTAGTGGGATTGGGATGCTGTATAAAGCTCCAGGGCCAAAAAAGCGAAGAATTCCGTTGAAAACATGCAGCATGAGACTCCCCCTTTTGCTCGTTGATCACCCGTCAGCAACCGAATTCAGGGACGTATGGACACGGAGAAATTCTTGCATTCTTTTTCAACATGAATGTATCACTTGTGATCACTAGATGCAATACACAAAGCTTACGCATGATGGTGGGTTCTTGGAGTGCCTTCACTAGAAGCTCTTTCTGGCCTTCTGCTTTATTGCATTCACATCTTACACTTCTACTCCATCCTATTCTATCGATCGATTTGTCTCTACTCTCCGAAATCGCGCGCTTTAACCCGATTCTTTCATTGCGTCGCCTGATACGTAGCCGGCCAAAGGCCAACTTCTTTCCATGCCCGCCTTTGGCTCCGCCCGAATTACCTTCGATTGTCCATAGAATGGATTTTCGTGAGTTTGTTTCTCTTCGGAAACCGAATCTTCATGCGTGAAACTTTGTGTGCTGCATCTAGTGATCACAACTGATACATTCATGTTGAAAAAGAATGCAAGAATTTCTCCGTGTCCATACGTCCCTGAATTCGGCTGCTGACGGGTGATCAACGAGCAAAAGGGGGAGTCTCATGCTGCATGTTTTCAACGGAATTCTTCGCTTTTTTGGCCCTGGAACTTTATACACCATCCCTAATCCCACTAGAAACTTAACCCCATCTCATCATAATCCCTCGCTTCAAATGTTAATCTTGTCAGAAAATGTGTCCAATCCGTAGCTTAGATTGACTATCGAACGGATGCTCACACAAATCTGCTGCTACATCTGTTGAGAGTTTCCTTTTCCTTAAACCCTCTATATTCATTAGATTGGTTTTTGATGGAAGCCAATGGCTATGCAAACCATGAAGGGAGTGCAAAAATGCAAAGTGCAAATCAATGACGGCAGTAATTCACTGCTAGAGTCGTGTAAAATGTGTCGCATATGAATGTGCGTTGTTATCCTAAAACAATTTGTTCAGGTGTGCACGTACACTACACAAAAGCACAACTATCGTTCCGATATACAAATGTGCCGTGGCTTGAACTACCTTTGGGGAACTGCCACAAGTACAATACTGCCCCTAACCTTTGTAACATTTACGCGTTCTGTAGCGTCGCACCATTATAACTTCCTTGAAAGCGGGTAAAATGGAAAGATCTTTACAGCAATAGACTCGCCTCTCTGTGGCGAGTCTAACCATGTGTATACCTACTAATATGCTTGAAATGACAATAAGTTATTCCATGAAAACTATTGTCAATCCCTCGTCTGACTGTCTCGCCTCTCCTCATTCCCATTATCTCTCCAGTCTGGCTCTTATCGTTAGCTACCGCCTTCATGATTTCACAAAGCCTTCCTTCGAGCTCTTCTCCACTTCCTCGGCCCCATTTTGAACCCACCAGGGCCCTTGAGGTATGCCTCCCCGAACAGAAGAGGGACCCCTCCCTGGTAAGGTATGCTCTCCCCGAAAACTCTCGGGGAAAGGGCCACGCCTCCAGTTCTCGGGAGATTTTCCCCGATCCTGACGCCCTCCATATATTTCTCAGAAGGCAGCTCTTGGACTTGCACCCGCAGTGACTTGTTTATTTAATCGGATAATGCTCAAGGGAGAAATTCCAGCCATGTGGCATTTAGGTTTTGTTCGACCTATACATAAAAAAGGTGATAAAAGTTATGTGAAGAATTACAGACCTGTATGCCTCACGGCATCACTCAGCAAAGTTATGGAGCGAATCATTTGTTGCAAGCTCAGAGAGTTTCTCATTTCTAATAATCTGATAAGCCCGTGTCAACACGGTTTCCTTCCGAAAAAATCTACTTCCTCTGCGCTCCTTTCATCTATTCCTATATGGCAAAATGCTATTGATAAGAGGAAGTCGGTTTTTATAGCATATATAGACTTCTCTAAGGCTTTTGATTCCATACCGCTCTCCCATTTATTTGCAAAATTAAGACAGTTGGGTATTTCTGGCTGTCTTCATAACTTTTTGAAGTCATTTCTCTCCAACACATTTCACATTTGCTCATGGAAACTACTATAAAAACCCATTATATCCGTAATCGGAAGAGAGTTAATGGTTTGCTCTTGTTACAGTAATTTCCGCCCACACTGTGTAGTGATATTTATTCAGCCAGGTGAGAATGGCGAAATAAAGTTAAACAAAATTTACTGCTTAAAAGCGCTATAATTTCATACTATGACATGTCAACCTCCCGCTTGTTGTGTCTATGGCATCGCAGCTAACGCCGCTATAACTACTGTTCTTCCTTAAAAAATACCGCGTTCTCTCTACTCTGGTATGCAGGATGTTTTCTATATGTACACAATTGTAAATACCATTCTCTACCATTTTGTGGACTAGTTGTACGTGTAGTCTTCATACAGTGTAGCATTCCATGTGCACCATATGGTATTGTCCAATTCTGTAATTCAAATGAGTGTTTTGGATCACGCTTAGATACCCCTACCACAATTTCATTTTGACATGCTAAAATTTTCTAGTGTTCTTCTTATACTCCGAGTGTTAAGAATTTGCTGCACTACCCATCTATATCTTTCTATTGGATTTTATCAAACATTTCAGGAAACACACGTCATAATCCAGTACAGGTCGATGTTACTTGTCATATTGTTGGGCGCTGTCGTCAATGGGGTGATTCCCTTCGAACGCTCTATTGCTGAAATTAATGAAATGCATAACGTTCATCATTTACTCTACCAAGGCGACATTTTGCTGACACCGTACGTGAGAATTTCAGCGCCAATCATTATTTTCTTTTGGATGTGAACATTGTAGTGAGCATGCGGAACAGATTGCTAGAGCCACAAACGGAGGGGATCGTGAGGAAGGACAACGCATGAAACGTCAAGCCAGTGCATTCAAGAAAATGCCGTCAAAACTTTGGTTAGAAGGAGTGAACTACCACTTCGCGACAAGCATCAGTAAGCATAGGATGATGTCATAGGTTAGCTAAAAACTCGAGTGGAAATACAGTATTAATAATATTCCAGAGGATAACATTAGGAACGCATTCGCTAAAGCAGCAAAGCTATGGGAAAGCAACACCTGTATCAATTTCACAGAAAATCCTTCAGGTGAAGATTAAGCAACTTTGCCTTGATGTGTGAATGCTATGCGCTGCGCTAAGGAAGATTGCACAATAAGAAGCGAATTCAATAGACGCTAGCCCGGAGTAAGGCAGAATGCAGAATGTAGAAAAGTTGATTATCTAAAACGAAAAGTAATTTATAGAAATAATGATTGAATAGAAAAACTCTTGTTCACGTTGTTCCTCTGTTGTTTCGTTACACATAAAAATGTTACTCTTTCAGCTAATGCCCGAGTGAGGGTGTTTTCTGGACAAGGATGTTATTCCTATGTAGGCAAACTCAAGGAACGCGGCGAACAGCTGATGTCTTTGGGATTCACTTGCGCTACGGTTAGACATTGTTGCGCACGAAATCGGTCACACTCTTGGATTTATTCATACCCATTCACGACACGACCGTGACAACTTTATCAAAGTTAAGACGGAAAATATTGCGGTAAATTCTTGACATCTATTACTACAACTGCTAACATTATGACAGGCAGTAATTAGCATTTTCCTCAGCTCATAGTTCTAGGACGCCTAATCGAAATCTTTTCTCACTCAAGAATTGTTCACATCTGAGGCAGGAAGATGTACATCTGTGAGCCATTGCGTCAATGTGACTAATGCCTCTTGAGTATGTTCGTTAAAGCATTCCGCTGCACAGATGTCCCTCAGTGTCCGACGCATGTCTTTCTGGAATTTCGTCGCTAATAAGTGCTTACAAGCTGATAAACATTATTCAATTTCGGTTTTGCATACCGGTGCTCCTCCAGTGCCTTGGTGGTAACACGATTAGCAACTATTGTTTCAGAGCCTATTAGACTGTTATTATATACTGCTTTGCGTAATTATAAGCCCATCTGAAAGTGTTTGACCAATATCAACAGGACCTTGAGTGTCAACACCAATTTCTATTCCGGTAGATACGATTACTTTTTATTCTCATTTTTTAGAAAGACCATCATGCCGATTTTGCGAAATTACAACTTCACCCGTGTTTCTCAGTTGAGCTTCATTTTTGTGGTTGAAAAGCTCTCTTAGGGTTTGCGTGCCATAAAGGTTGTATTGAAGCCCCAATTGGTTTTGTAAGCAGGCCTCCACGATTAAGGCGCGCACTGCCTCTTCCATCCCGGGCCCCCCGACGCACCCCCCACTGATATCGCGCCCCCATCTTTTCCGGCTTGAAAGCGCGCGACAACAGGTCACACAGGCCCTCGTATTGACACGCAACTGCACACCTTTGCCGCAACCCCTCTGCTGTCCGTTGCCACGTCGCGCTGCTTGAAAAGCGTGGGCGCATTTAAGGCAGCGGTCCCACCGCGATCCTGTGTCAAGGGCACCGGAGCACAACTAGAGTCAGGCTCGCGAAACTCGTCCAACGCGCCTTTTCTCTATCCCAAGGTGGAATGTTGCTGAAATAGGGGAGGTTTCTGTACGGGGCGTAATCTGTGATTTCGTTTGCTTTCCTTCTCTTTTATAGACCACCTCCCACCTCTAGTATCATGACTGAACGCTTTTAGACACCTATTTTATCCCGAATCTTGCCTTTAATGCCAAGAAATTCAAAGCCTCATGTTCCGTAGTTCTACAAACGCAGTGCGGAGGGTCTCCCCCCGGTGACAGCGGCTTAATAACAACAAAATCTAGGTATATATTCAAAAATCTGCAGAGCAGAAGTCAACAGAATTCAAGAATATCTATTTGAATTCACATCGTAAGGGCCATATACAGGGTGGCTACTAAGTATTGGCGCATGGATTGTTGACTATATTTTTTGAATAAGAATCTTTTACATTTTCAGAGGTTTATCTTTATATACCTTATGACATGGCAGTACATTTCTAAAGGAGGTGGCACGGAATGGTCTTCTTCGACGATACATACAGGCCTCAAATTTCTTCTCAACTGACATCACTGTAAGCCGCAAGCAGCTTCATAGCTCTTTCCACGCCTCCTCCAAGGAAGCCTTCAGGTAGTCCAAACTTCGACGTTGCTCAGAAGGCATCTTCTGCTTCAAAGAAGCCCCACACCGCCAAATCAATTGGTTCAAATAGGGTGGCATAAGATGGCCAAACATTTTGTGCCCGGTAACTTGGAAAATGACGTCAAAGTCAACACAAATTCCGCAATTGAGGCGCCCTAGTCTGCGACTGGAATGCAAGACGTTCGCTAAAGCCACAAACCCATATGGAATACGGGTCAACGTACCAATTATTTCGAGAAAATCTGCGCTGCTTTGATGCTTATATCAACACAAGACAACGTGTCATGTTTTGAACACACACTGCAACCACAAATTTCCCCAAACGGTTCCTTGACGTATACACAAGTCGAGCAGATTTCTAAACTAGCCGATCCAACCACGCTGTCGTACATTGTCAAATCAATTAGCGCCACTCTGGTCGAGATCTTACTCAGACCACACACTCTCCATCACTCGACGGCTCCAACGTGATTCCAGTTTGAAATGAGACTTCAATCAAGCCTGTATCCCTACCAAAGGAGTCCATCTTTCGAGCACACTTTGGTAAATGAATATCATGTTATTGTAATATGAAAAACTTCTGAAGATATGATAGCTTTTCTTTTCGGAAATATGATCAATAAACCATGCGCCAATATTGAGTAGCCACCCTGTATTTGTTCCTAGGTAACAAATATCTTCACTTTAACGTGAAAGATGCAAATATATCAATATTTTTCAGTAGGGATTGGCAATACGCTTTCGAAAAATCTATGCCGGCAGAAAACGATAACCTTGGATTTCCGTACGATTACGGTGACATTATGCATTACCCCAAAGACACGTACGTTTGCATATATAATATATGTGAGGTCCCAGCTTATATCTATGCTATTACGGCGTACGATGTACTATAACGTGTTGTTGAGAGAACACCTAGAGTTATGTGTTTAAATTCGAAATGCTGTCTTACGTGTATCAGTGGATCAAAAAACGGAGCGCCGACAATAGAGCCCAGCTCCTAACGCCAGACTGCTTGGCTGCCAATTATTTCTTTCAATGAGTATTCCATGATGAACGAACTCTACGGATGCAAAGGTTTGACTTCTCTTTTCCTAAAAATCACATTAACTAAACCCCACATTCACATGTGCTTCGTACTGTCTAATTAGAATGATTTTGTGTTCAATCGCCACCATTCGGCTTTCTTGGATGGTCCTTCCCGCACTCACATAGCTAATTCTTATTTCACACCAAATACCGTTATCAGTTATCAGAGAAGTTGTGTCAATTTCTTTCGAGTGAGAAGTTTCCCTGTGAGAACCAAACTTTGAGCACAATGTCATAAATGGTTTGAAAGGGAATCGTTCACGTTATAAACACAGCGTACCCTTTCTACGTTATGAATTAAGTGAATTCCATACCTGTAAATTAGGATGTTAAGGGGAGGAAAAATAGCCAGATAGGCAACTACCTCAAACCCTATATTCCACTGGAAGAAAAATCAATCGTTGATGTACTATGAACTTGACACGAGCTCTCCCTAGCATTCCACTATTGAATGCTTCATCAAACCGTATATTTCTTTTCCAAGATGGTTTGTTGGTTATCTACATTAATGTCGATGGTTGACCGCTAACTTGTCAAATTTGCTCCCTAACATTTTTATGCACGAGCGATGAAAAAACTGATACGAGATCAGAATAGGTTGTGACTAAGTAACCGGCCGTTACAAATATGACGGGTTAATTTCTTAATAAAGAGACACACTCCTATATTCTCTAAAACCTTAATCTTTTACACGTAGCGTTCGTCATCAACTGGATAAGTTGTTATGTAGGCTTCAAATTCTACTAGAATGACAAAAACGAGAAAAAAAAAACAAAACATATGTCTGAATAGGGCAAATAATACGCTCATGAATGATTCATGGGTAATGTGAAACTTGTCAAATTTGCTCCCTAACATTTTTTGCACTTATTTTAGGAGTTTTAGTGAAAAAATCTTTCCTTAAAAAACTACAAGGTATATCGTTTATCATTCGAAAAGCTGTAGTTTGAAAAAAGAAGGATACGCTTGTTAATGATATCAATATTGTACTATTGAGCAGAATTAAGTGCTAAATACGTGGTAAATCGTCGACTAATCTCCTTTGGAGGAACGTAGATCTTGAGTTAGTTGCCGGTTCAGCTACTTTTCATCTCCTAGGCTTCCCAATTTGTAAGTCTGTGATTGAGTCAGTAACAAAGACCAAAAGGAAATTACAGTGCACTTCATACATGCGAGATATTAGGATGAAAACACTGTTCAAATTTTGTTATTCTTCAATATGAGTGACGTTTCACAAAAGCACCCAAAACGTGATATTGCATCACATATTCACACCGGTCTTTTAAATGCTTATTCCAGAACGTTGTAAACCAGACACGTCGGCCAAGTGTGAGATGGGCGGATTTCCTCATCCGCGAGACTGTCGAAATGCATATGTCCCTCTGGTTACGGCGGAAAAGCTATGCAACGAAAGAGTAAGAAACCAACAAAGTTCAAAACGAGTCGTGTGCAAAAGCCAGATGGGTGCCTCTGGTTGGCAAAAAGTCCAGAAAGGCGATAAGGATGTTTCCTTCTAGACATCACCTTAGATGCAACCTCCCTCCCCCCACTACGTCTTTTGTTCCATGCGCTCTTGGGTGTTGTCCAGGTGTTCGAGGTTTATATTTTTCGTTTCAATAGCCTACTTCTATTCATATTTCGATTCAGGAAACTTGAAAAAAAAACTGTTTTTCTATGCATGAACATTTCATTACTTGCACCTAGCGTATTTGTGTGGGAGAGGAACCCAACACGTTACTTGTGCGATTCCTTTGAGTGGTGTAGAAAGTATCAAAATAAAAAACTACTATTTCAGCCATCAGGGTGCGGCGCAACACTTCAAGCTACTTCAAACTGGACGACTCTCACGGATACTTTTAGGCGCAGCTTTGATGATCCAAATGATTTTAGGACGTGCAACTACTGGATTACAGTATGTACTATGCTCCACTAAAACCCT